AAACGGTCACGAAATGCACACCGAAGGCCTCGACCGGGCATTAGAATAGGCACACAACAGAACAGCGACGGTCCCTCGTCTTACCCCAGAAAATTCGCACACGGAACTACAACTGCATGCATGCATTAATAAATGGATTGGCAATATATGGGATGTCATCCAAGGCAAAAGCGGACGGACATTGGTGACCAGCCGCCGAAAATAGAGACAGGACGGCTTAAAGCCCGGCCGGGATAGCACTGCACCCCCGATATTGGACCGTCGCGTCTGTGAAGAGGTGGTCGGAAGCCCGCAGCTCCGGTCGGAAGGGGGGGCAAACCACTGTCCAGACGGCCGCGGATCGCGCAATTTCAACCAACAGCGACGGACAGCAGGCCGGGACTACGGCAAATCCAACGGAGCCGGACTTCGCGTTTAGTCGGCGCCGAGCGGACAGCCCGACAGCCTCGCGGCGATACTAGATGGACTGGAAGATTGGACGGCTGGACGGCGTACCGACCGCGTCAGCCGTTGGGGGATCAAGGACCATCTAGTCAAAACTGGGCTGAATTCGCGTGAGAAATCAGCCGACGATTCGAAATGACATGCAAATCACGATGTCAATAAAGATAACGGAGGATTGCATCGGGTTACTTCAGCCGGGGATCCGCTGACAGGACACTGCACAGGATTTCTGTCGATTGCCCGAGGGAGATACATCCTCTGCACGACCAGAGGGCCATCCTCTGGCCAAAGTTTGCGAAGTGTGATCTGGCATAACCCACGTGCCGCCTTTCAACTCGCTGCCGAGTTCATCAAGACCGAGTACGTATGGCTCAGGGCAAACACCACTACCCCTTGATTACCGAGACAGCTTCACTCGCTGCCCCAAACTCAGCAACCGTGACCGTAAACTACGAACATAATCCGATAAAAGCTGTTTGTGGACGACTGAAAGAATAGAAACGACTGGCTGAGTTCCACCTTCGAACCGCGCACACAGAGCGTGTGAAGTTACCTCTGGGCAAATGTTTTCCGCGGCATTCGCTTGACAACGCCGGCCGGGGCACCACGTCTCAAAGGAGGTAAAGAGAACTCGGGCGGCATTGGACGGGCGTTGGTCAGTCCAAAGCTAATCCACGGCGCCCCACGCCATTCACAGCTGTCACGTTGTCAGGGACTTCCCAGGCGAATCCGTCCTTCGTTAAACCCCGCCGCCAGTCCGCCTCATTGTCCTGCTGACAGCGGTGATGGAGCGTCGTCGCGTCTTGGCGACCGCCGACGGGCCTTTCAGCTCGACGCGCGGGCCAGCGCCGCCTCGCGCCAAACTGGACAACGACGGAGAGCGAGCGGCGACCGCAGGCGAACACACACCACGTGATCCGGGCCGCTGTTCGCCTGAAACGCTCGGCACTGATTTCTCCGCTAAGCCGATTCATCGATTCCGAGGCCCATACAATAACCGTTCGGTCGCCTTTTGACGTCGCCCACCATTTTGCCCCACAGCGGCACGACCTCCCCCACAGTACGCCAGAAGGTGTCGACGGGATAATCAGCGAGCCCGCCCTGTTCCCACGATAACGGCCGTGGCGCGCAGCTCGCCGCGCCGAGACAGCGGGGGGCCGCCGAGTGCGCACGAGCCCGACCGGCCGCCGGCGGGCACGGCGGCCGCAGCTGGGCCCGCTCCCATCGCCCGCCCGTCGCGAGCGCGAGGCCGCCGCCGTTTAAGCCCGTCAGCGTCGCAGGTGCAGCGCGGTCCCAGCGCTGCAGGACGCGTGGCGACGCTGCCACTGCAGTCTCACTTGGCGGCCAGAGCCCTGGCGGTGCACAGCTCGGCCGGCCGGTCCGCGGACCCGACAGCCGTCCGTCGCCGGGCTAAACGGGTCGCCAGCCGTCGGTCACCGGACTGAGCGGGTCGCCAGCCGTCGGTCGCCGAGATGAGCGGGTCGCTAGCCGTCGATCGCCGAGATGAGCGGGTCGCCAGCCGACGGTCGCCGAGTTGAGCGGGTCGCCAGTCGTCGATCGCCGGACTGAACGGCTCGCCAGGACGACGAACAGCCCGGTCTTCTGTGCGGCGGTGCCACGTTTTGCACAGTCAGCGACATCGCTGGCCGCTGGCCGCCCAGAGTGGTCCGATCAGCGCAGCTGTGTGTCGCCACGACTCACTGGGGAGGATTCGTCTGGGGCTCCCGGACACAAGGCCATTATACCGGCCTGAGGACATAGGGCTGGGTGCTGACCCAGACCGTTCGGCCAGTCCGGCCAGCCTGGAGCGTCTGCCTTCCGACGCATCCACCCGTGGCGGAATGGCTTCGAGTCGTCTCAAGCGTTCGCTATTTGTCCCTGACCGCGACGGTCCGCGGGCGGTGGCAGCGACCACGCCAGACATCAGCTGACGTCAGAGGGCGCGACGGGCCGTGCCGAGCACTGCGGCACGGTGAGCTATCGCCTCAAAATTCAGCCGTCGACCCAGACTTCCCGATCGGGCGCTGGGGTCCGTGGTCCAGCTTTCAATGAAAAAAACAGCCACATTATGTACACTTGAGCATTTACAGTGATGGACCACCCAAGCCTAAAGTCCAATCCTATCGCTGCGCACCAGCCGCCAAGAGCCTGTGCCGCCCACACAGGCTGTGGCCGCTGGTGTCAACATCGCAACAGTGAACCCCGGCCACAGGCGCACCCCGCCCGCCTGCGCCCCGGCTGTCCTCGTCAGCACGGCCGCCCCTGCCCCCGCTGCACGACCGTCCGTCAGCTCATCCACATACGACAATGTTAATGGGCACACGGGGAGCTTATCACCATACTACATGCGTTAGCAGGTCATGAATATGTTTGCCCGACAGTGACGATGCCGGCGTCCCGCGCCGACGCCAACAAATCCACATAGTTACCAGCTGCCGGCGAAAGCGTCGCCGCACACAGCTTACACGTTCTCAGGCAAGGGGCTATCAAAAAAACCCAATAGGTTGTCTGTTTACAGCAATATTGGAAACAAAGGAAGAAAACGCCTGGGCATCCATCAGCAGACGGGTTAGCTGAACCCGAACGAAAAATGGAAAACAACAACGGCAAATAATGCGCGCGCTGTCATCGCGCCACCGCCGAGACAACTACATAATTCCAGGGGTTCACACGACAGGCGAATCCCAGCGCAGACGACGCTGATTCTGCGCGGCTTGTGGAGCCGCCTGGCGCCGCTGTGCCCAGTCCAGCGCTGGCGCAGTGGTCTCACCACCTGTATAGCATGAATGGAAAGAAATCGTCCGCCCTGGACCTTTCACTGCATTGGTTTCCCGCCAACTTGCGACTGCGACTTATGAGCTCCGATAATATGACGCCCACTGAACCGTTATGGGGCTGCTCTAGCATACCATGCATAAAATAATGGCACCATGTTTGTATTCCGGCCGTATATGTCATTATTCAGGATACCGTGCGTCCGGTATACAAGTGTACTGAAATGCAATATTGGAGATATGATATATATATATATATATATATATATATATATATATATCTCTCTCTCTCTCTCTATATATATATATAACCTTATATATTTGCTAGTTGTCTGCGCCGACAAGAGGAAGGAGACAAAGACATTATATAACGCAGTTACGGGTGGCGACCGATTCCATTTTGTCATATTCCATAGGCAGAAGACATTCATTTGGAGAGGGACATACGCTCTACCACCTCTGCCTCCACAGACGCGCGCCAGCCCAGCACCCGTGAGTCCAGCGCCTCGCGCGCCCCGACGCTGGCGGCGAGCATCTCCCCGCCACTCCCCCACCGGACAGTGTCTGACATCACTGGCGCCGGCCGCGCCGTTAAGGGCCCGATGACGGCCGGTGTCGCCGCTGATGTCGGCCACCGGCCCTCGCAGCCGGCAGTAACGAGGCCGCGGCACGCCACCCGCCTCCGCCGGCACCGGCCGGCGGCGGACCGGCGGCACGCGCCGTTTCCCCATGCCGCACACAGGCGAAGACCGGCGCCGCTCGCCGCACCTCGCGCCCGCGCCAACACCCCTCCCGGCCTCCGTACCATGCGTGGGCGCGAGCGGAGGTCAGGTTCGACTCTTGCGTGTGACGTCTTCCATCGGGTATCTCATTTATCCTTCAAGCTATTCCCGGCTCTCCTGCCTTGCGGAGCGCGTGTCGTCAGTGACCGACTCACCAGCAAAACGGCAGCTGAGCATGAGGGTGATGTCACGAGCCGCCTTGCAGACGAGACCACTGACGTCATTACCCTCGACGGGGTTGAATAATGCCTCTCTGTCCGGCCTCCAAGTGCCCCTCAGCGCAAATCGCCCACAAATCCTGCGTCGTCGCGCAATTTCCGTTCTAAGTTCGTCTTCGTGCACTGCCAGGCGGCCAGGGCGCCTTCGGGCCACAGGCAGCCCGCGAGACGAGACGGGACGCGGCGTAGGCACGCCAGCTGCGGCACCGTACGACGGGGCGCGGTGGGCGGCCAGCGGCGGCACCGTGCGACGGGACGCGGCGTAGGCACGCCAGCTGCGGCACCGTACGACGGGGCGCGGCGGCATTCTGAGCGCCGGTAGCTCAGCACAGGCCGAGCGTGGGCGAGCCGCATTTGTTCCGCTGGTGTACAGCGATGTGTTGGCCTAGCCGCACACGTCATTACTCGACGTCGCGTTTTTCTCTCGAAGGCGGCTTTCGGGTGGGATATCCGACCTTCGGAATCAATACTCCACGCCGCTGCAGCTCTTTGCTTCTGTCAAAAATAAGCATTCAAATTTCTGAAGAATCTGGCCCGGATTTAACCACCTGAGAGTGGTCGACGGCGAGTCATAATTGAACCTCGTAACTAAGAAGCCAAATTCAACCACGCACATTAGCCGTTTGTTCGCCGACGAAAAAAAATTATAAAAATAAAGAAGTCACTGGCTTTAATAAACATAAGCACACACTGCGATGAAAAGAGGCACTCTAAGTAGGCAATATCTACATAGCAAAGCAAAAAGGGGCACATAACACGCATTCAGCTGCGTTTGTGCTTACCGTTGGTCTTCTTTTGATCTTCAGCTGCACGGATACAGAAAACGCGCATCAGGCTATGCTCAGCAACCAAAACACTCAACTTATCACGGCTGATACTCAGACTTAGTGTGTTCTAGAATAATTTTGGGAATTGGGTGCAAGAGCTCAATCACAGCCCAATCGTCACTTACGAATGTTTGACTTCTCGCATATCAAGTATCAGAGCACGATGCATGCGGCAGGTCAAAGAAGAAAAACAGCACGCTCCTTAACGACATGTCACACCTCAAACGCCTCAAAGACGCTTCCCGTATTAAGTGAAGCATTCAAACGCAGCATCCTCCCAAAAGCATTCGGTTGAAATTGGTGGGGTGGCAATGCCAGCCCGAGGCACCCTTTCAGCGCATGCTGCTAAGCCTTTCAACACACGCAAAACAGCGATGCCGCTGGCGGCCGACACTAGCGCTGCGTGTGGCGGGTGCACGAGCTAATGGTTCGGAGAGCGGCACAGATGGCGGCAGCGCAAAGCGCTGCCGTCCATACATCAGAGTGAGGTGAGACCAAACAGACGTGAAATGAACAAAAACACATTTTTCACGTCGCTGGCAATAACACTGATTCGGCCGGAGGGGCTCACGGGTTTGTTGTGGCGTTTAGAATCGTATTGGAACTGCCCCAGATATAGCTGGAGCTTCTTTAGTTTTCTACAACCAGTCTGTGTTGTAACTGCTGAATCATGGTTGTAATCAGTATACCCCCCCCCCCCCCGACGTGATCTGAGAGAAATCTCACACACTATCAAACCACCCAATGTAGTGTTCCCACATCCTAAGATGATACGAATGTCAAATTGCTGGCAAACGGAGATACCGATTGAAAATAACCTGAATTGTTTTACACGGTACTGCTAGATTTACCCGGTAGTAGAGTCCAACAAAATTATCTAGCCTGCTTTAGCAGCATGATTGGTAAACAAATATTACTTGTAAGACCTTACATTGAAAATTGACCAGCCTTCGGTATATCATGAGTAGCTGCTACACAAAGATATCATTAAATTACCGAAATAAATTATGATAAGCTCATAAATTGGAACACTCTTTAGAGGGGGCGGCGGTGGTATAGTGATAAGGGCGCTCGATTCTGGACCTGTCAGTACTAGGTTCGGGCCCCTGCAACGCCCACCCACATGGTACCTAATAGAGGCATCTGGCTCGAGATGGCTCTGGCGGTCAGTGGCGTGCAAAGCCCCAATCAATTATATCATTAAGTAGAGTAATCTTTGAGAATTGCCTGCATAATATCCCAATGACCAAGTCCTATTCTAATTTGGACAGTTCCTTTGGTTAAAACGAGTCCTTTATTTTAGCATAAAAATTCGCTGCAAGGGACAACCAGAAGCTGAAGGACTTCATCGCTTACGTCCAAATAATCATATTCGAACAGTACATGCTACGATTGTACAAAATTTCTTGATTTTAGTATAAAAACGGTACAAATACAGATCTATTGCGAGTTTGTAAAGGAATCCGTCCATCAAAACAAGGAGTAATGTTATAATTCAGTAGCCTCAACAAACAAGGAGTTGACAACCTCCTGTCTGATTTTCCTGAACATGAAGCCTTCTCGGTTCTCCTGAACATGGAGTCTTCTTGCTTTTCATGGACATCAACTAGTGCAGCATACTGGATCTCACTGAGCTTGGACGCCCGAAAACGTGTCATCAAGTGGTTTTCAAAAATGATGTGCCTTAGGGCACATGGCACTGCTTGTGGACAAATTCTAAGACGCCTGTACGTGCCACTCCATTCGGACATGCCTCTAGCACACCTTATTAGACAAGGGGCCGTTCATTTCGCCTTGGTTCTGCGCCAAATGTCCGTGTTCGCTCTACCTGCCATCTAAATACAAAGCTTGCAAACAGTGCGGCCGCCTTCCACTACCAGGCATGCAAATAAACAGGACTGCCAGCACCGCACCAACTACAATCACAAATCCGGTGCTGCGGGGTTGGAGTGACAGCTACACGGACAGTGCCAGGGGTGCATTGGATCAGGCCTCGTGCATCACCAAATAATGAAACACCTCCTGGCAGGCGTGGCCTCCACTCAACACGCCGTAGTCAGCCCAGTAAAAATTAACGCCCACCGTGGCCCGCGTGCTGCGGTGGCCATTTGACTTCCATCTGGTATTGATCGCCACTTCGCCAAAATGGAGGAAATTTCCGCCGGCCCTCGACGCCCCGCTGTCCAGCGTACGGCGCTGTGTTCCGCTGCCCCAGCCACGGCCTATTCCCGCCACGTGCCGGCAATGAGGCGGCCGCGGCCCATGGCCGGTCAATATGGGACCCCAGGCCGCCGCCAGGGGCCGAATAAGAATACGCATCAGAGCAAGGGCGCGATCCAAACAGGCGGGTGCGGGCTAATCGCGGTACGTGAGCGGACAGGGCAGCGGCTGGTTACGGGTGCCACCCGGACTGGGCGCCTCGACACCCGGGTCACCCGCACTAGGCGTCTCGACACCCGGCGGGTGCCACCAGGACCAGACGTCTCGACACCCGGGTCACCCGGACTAGGCGTCTCGACACCCGGCGGGTGCCACCCGGACAAGGCGCCTCGACACCCGAGTCAGCCGGACTAGGCGTCTCGACACCCGGCGGGTGCCACCCGGACTAAGCGTCTCGACACCCGGGCCACCCGAACTCGGTGTCTCGACACCCGGGTGCCGTTCGGACTGGGCGTCTCGACAGAGCCAAAACAAAACTGAAAACGTAAAGAGCCCTTCAATACGCGGTGCATCTCGGCAATGGGCCCGTGAGCAGGTCCAGGCTGAGTGTTCGCGATGAGAGACCGCGGCGCGGGGCCGCCGCGAACTCCGTGTGGGACCGGCAGAACAGGTGGAGGATCTCGGGCGCCAAACATCAACAGGACAGCATCAGGTAAGTGGCGGATGTGGGAAAACGTAAGGCGGGGCTAATAATCCAAGCTTCTAAAATAGCGCAACGAAAAACACTAAAATACGTGTTAGTGAGTGTCTAAGTAGCAGCGTGCGTCGGCGGTCTGGGGGTACTTACGTGCGGGTCATCGGACCCAATAACAAGGGTAAAGGTCCTTGATTACAAAACTGCATACGAAGCCTGACACGACTAGCATCTTATAGCATGGCGAACATGGGTATCGCTATCGTGTCGGTCACATCATATGAAAATTGACGGCTTTCCCAGATCTCGCGGCAAACTCCGGCCTGCGTTTTCTGACCGCTAATCGAAACGTTAAAAGATGAGAAAATGCATAGTAAGCATGCAGTTCTTAAGATTCGCGGCAAAACTGGCGATGCTTCACAGTTAGTAAGGAAACCAAACGGCGCTCACACAATTTTTTGGATGGGGAGGATGCTCTCAAAATGGCATCACGTAGCATGGCTTAAAATACCTTTTACAGCAAAACCGTACGGGACTTCCCCTGCATCCGATCACCATCTGCCCGGGCCGAGTGTTCGCGATGAGATGAGATGAGATGAGAATGTTCAACGAGACACGTATTTTCCAAAAGAACATTCACATGAGAGAACCTTCAGCTTATGACTACCAGACGGAACCTGGGGATGGGCCTTGGAAACGAAAATCTGAGTCTGGGAGCGCCTGACAGCATCACCCGCAGTCCGCCGACGCACGTGCAAAGCTCAAGCAACATCAAACTGATGCGCTAAGCCGGCGAGGCCGGCGCGCCCGGTCGACGGCGGCGCCGCTGCCGAAGCCGGGAGCATTACCCTTGCCGAGGACGGAGTGGGCGGAGTCGAACGGCTCGGGAGAAGGGCCCGTGATGGTGATGACGTCGTCCGCGCCGGGTGCCGCCACCTTACCGTCCTCCAGTGTGCCATAGGAGGCGTTGGTGCTGGCCGCGGACACCTTGAAGCGCTCGGCCATGGCTGCGGGTCGGCGGCCGCGGACCTAGGCGCTCGGTCAGGGCTGCGGAGGAGGGGGCGGCGCGGTCAGAGACAGCTGCCGCCGCCGAGCGCGCGGCGGCGATGCGGCGACAGACGGACGCGACGCTAAACTGCCAGGTTACAATCATGACAGACACAACGGTGTGAGAGACAGGGCGGCCCGCACCGGGACTCGTACAAAGACGTGTACAACAGGTGGGCGCCACGTGCGACAGGCAAGCACGCGGAGCGTGCCGCCAGCCTAGGCGCGGCGGACGGCGCACATAAACGGATGGCGGCGCCGACGCCACCACGCACAGAGCCAGTCAGGACGACGTGCAAGACACACCCACCGCCGACGCGTGGCCACCGGCTGGACCCGTCCCGCCCGCGCGCGCGGCCCGGCACTCCAGACCGGGACTAGACTTGGCCAGATGCTCCACGGCACGACCTCCAGCGAGGGCTTTAACGACGGCGGCCACACTACGCTACACGCGAACCCGGCGCTCATCGCACACGGGCGTCCAATAACGTCGCACCACACGCGGGTCGTTGCAGCTCAATGCGCGCCGGGCACGGCACGCGCCGCTGTTTCACGCGGTAGCTGAGCAACAGCGATCCAGCGAGCCAGCCCCCTGTCCCCCAGCCCCCCCCCCCCCCCCCCCCGAGCGACGGCCGCGTTCAGAGTCCGCCAAGCAGGCCAGGTGGGGCACACCCACGCCCCGACGGGGCTCTGGCTGCTGCGCCGCCGGGTGCTAGCAGACGGTCACGTAACGACCAGCCACCTGTCACCGCACTGCACGGGCGACAGGGGGCGGGTAGGGGCGGGGGGGGGGGCATCGATCGGCCTGGAGGAGCCATGCAGGCCACGTGTCGACGCGCCCGTGGTTACCCGCACGGCGTGCAGTTGTCGCTGGTTCTATCGAGCGGACACGGACGGTCCTAGCAGTGCGGCGCGCGCGGCAACGTGCGCCAAACCGCACTGTTCATCACGCCAGACGAACGTCATCGCAGCATTAACGATCTAGTCGCGAGGCGAAATATGCACTCAATGATGCTTGCGAGCCATGTTTTGTGAAACTTGGATGCATGCAGTGTTGATGAACTTGAGCACCTGCTTCCAAGCACACCCAAACATAAACAGTGGTCAGCTTACAGCAGGGAACTCAGCCATCCTTTGACTTGCATTACTCAGAGGATGTTTTGACTGTTCAGTGTGCCAAAGATAACACACATTGAGATCACATACTGGAGAGCCCAACCAAAGGCACTTCATTCCCTGGACCAGAGGTTCCATTCAGAAACTGCAAACTCTTGCTGAATTATGACATGTATTGTACATGCAAGCATGATATGAACCAAAGTAGGCATGACTTGAGACAGTCTGCTTGTATTAAACAGTCCTCTTAGAGATATTGTACAATTACTATTAAGACAGCAAATTGGGGGAAGGGCAGCAGATTGGGAGTATGGAGCAGAAACAGCAGGAGTCACAACTTGAAAAAGTTGAGCATAATCCCTCTGGCATCTCATGGAAAGACATAATTCTTAACATCCTCCTCTACTGAGAGGTGATTCTGATTTCAACTGACCACAATGACCTATACAATAGAAGAATTATATTGAACAAAAGTGCATTACATGCTCAGCCCAAAAAGCATAGCTGGTGATATAACATGATGTAACCTATTTTGCAGGCTCCTACTGTATAACTATATACATTCAGCTGAATAGAATTTTTATTAGGTAACAAATAAGCACTATGGCAGCACCTATTATTTACCATGGACAACAGAGCTGCAAAGACAGCTGTGCTACTGGCTTATCAGAGCATGAGGTCATATGTCATTTGTAACCTTCAGCTCAAGTGAGATGATTCTGGATGTCAATAATACCCAATATTATCAAGGGTAGAAAAACTCAAAATTTATATGTAGATATGCAAAAGGAATCAAATTTCAAAAATGTCTGGAGCATGTCTTCTTAAAATCAAAGCAGATAGCAAGTAGTGAATCAAAAACATTTATATAGTGATTTTCTAGGCCATACACATCCAAAACAATAAAATAAAGAACATAAACAAACAGTCCAATATATCTTAAATTTGAGTTTTATATGTCTAAAAGTCCCAAGTTTGGTGCAAATTAAATTTGGAGCAAATCCCAGAGTTTGGCATACATGAACTACAAACTTAAGCATATTAAGAGAAATTGCTTCAATGCATTATAATGTAGCTATAAAAATTCAAGCAGAAATACTCTTAAACATCTTTAAGGCAGAAATGCCTTAGAGATTCAGCTCAGTTTGGCCTGGCCTGAGTTCAGGGTCTGGGGCACCTAGGGTACAGGATGTGAACATCACATCACCATGCAGCTCGGAAGATAGAATCTTTGAAGGCTGGACCATATGAAAAAGCTCAAGGCTAGCCAATGACACCTAACAAACTGAAGGCTGAAGATAAGCACACAATTTTTGGGTTGGAAACAAAAAGTTAATTTTAGGTTTTGATGTGGGCAATCACAAATACAAAATCACAAAATTACATGTGCTACGGTGAATATAAAATTTATCATGCAACTAACAGAACAAAAATGTCTCAACCTAACTAATGTGCAATGCTTATTCCTACATTGTCCTTGCATAGTACAAGCAATAATGTTATGGCAGCCAACTACCAAATGTCTACATGTCTTTCATACAGCATGCTTCAGCAATCAAAGTAATGAGATGAAGGGCTTTCATGTAATCTGACAAATTATGCATATTCCCAAATGTTATGGTGGCCAACTACCAAATGTTTACATGCCTTTCATACAGCATGCTTCAGTGATCGTAGTAATGAGATAAAGAGCTTTCATGTAACCCAGCAAATTACGCATATTCCCAGCCCTAGTTGGCCTGTATATCCAGACATTCCTTTCAATTGCCTATGACAACACGGAAACCCAAGAGGCACTCAGACGCCAGTTGTATTCACCGTATCACATGAAGGACAGCTCAAAACCATCTGCTGCGCGCCATTGAAACCTATATGGCTTTGATATTTAAATGGGCACTTCGTAACCAAGCTTCTCACCTCTGTAAACTCGGACAGGTTGCAACAGACCCCGGCGAAAGCTACACCTACACGACCACGCACAGCAGCTTTGTGAATCATCGGCTTTAATTGTAATGGACAACTAAGTTAATTAGCTACTTTCAGAACATATGAGTACATAAAGATGCTCCAAAAGTTCATAAAAAATGTGACTTTTGTAGCTTTTTATCACATTCCTTTTAAACTGTCGCTATATTTCTGAAGAAAAACCTAATTCTCGGAATAATGGCTAATAATACAACCCTTAAATGAGCCACTGTCCATGTTTTTTCAACTTGGTACGAAACACCCATCTCTATTTATGTTGCGATGCAAATATTCCGCGACTGTTACACTCCTGGGCTGATTTTGCATAGTGCGGAGGGCGCGATACATATTTTGAGTGGTTGTAACACGTATCATTGAGGATCGGGTTGCGTTGCAGGTTGCAGGACTTGGTGCTAATTTTCAATAACATAAGCAGCCGAGGATGGTAGGTTTTCCTTTTTCATGAAAAGAAAATGTGTGGGCTTCTGTGTTAAATGGGATGGGCAGGCATCGGGGTTGTGTGTAAGATTTCACTCTGATTGGAGCTGTACATTTTTTTAAAAAATCCAGTTGAGCGTGCTGCGTTGAGCGAACTGGCAGCCTAACATTCTAGCACAATTTAAAACAACATGGTATGTCCTTGATTTGCTATGAGGAGATGCATGTGTTCGTGGGGGGGGGGACTATGGCGATATGCCACTAATTTACATTTGTTCAAAAAGTTACAAGAGTTAACATAGGTGACTTCCTGGAGGCTTCTCGAAGCAGTGAGGAATAGGCGCAGACACACATTCAAACCAGATATGACTTAGTTATAGTTTGTTCAAAACAAGATGTATCAGCTTGCAGTTTGCAGTGGAATGTAGGCTCATTTCCTCATGGCCTTTCATGTCATGTTGGATGGCATGACAATCACAATTGGTTTTGCTTGCCTACCAGTCTGAAAATGATAAAGATGCCACTGGGATATTGAGAACAGCCTCAATGCCTAATTCAACTGTGCTAGGCAGTGCCTTTGCATCAAGGTCTCATCAAAACTTGTTGTAATTGGTAGAATGGCATGCTGACCATTCTGTCACTTCAGCTTGGATTTGCAACATAATAGTCTTATGCTGAAATGTTATGATAATGAAGCTCATGTGAAAATTTTCTCCTTAGACTGCAGCAATACAGATGTGTTTTATTCACAAAAACATGGTTTAGATAAAGTATATGCATTGCTTGATAACAATCATGCTGTATTAGATTTACTGCATGCTGTATAAAGTAACACTGTTTTGGGATTATTGCATATTATATGGTAGACATTCTGCCCACCATTTTGCCTTTGGGTGTTTAAAGTATAATAGTAATGAATGTGCTTGGTTGTGTTCACTTCGTTGTTTTTTTTTAAAATCACTGCCTTTTGGCTTCTAGTATTTTGCCACTGGGAGAAAAGTTGTTGCCTTTCAGATATTTGCATTCTTGACATGGCGTATTCTCCCTAGAAGTACCAACATGCCATGCCTCTCAATGTGTGATAGAGGAACATGTCAGACAACATGATATTTACATGTGACAACCAACTTGATTTGTTAATGATGCTGCTTATCCTGTCTATGATACACAGCATGATATGGCAAGTGTTAATGACAATAGTGTAGGAATAATCAAGCACTTGTCATGATCTCAGTAATAGCTGCATGCTTGATTAATGTCAGCTTAGTCACAAAGATAACTGCAAAGTGAATGACCAGGCAGTAGGTTAGTTCAATGCCTGCATAGACCTCAATAACAAACATAGGCATTGTTTCATCACATTTGACCCAGGATAAAAAGACTGTAGAAACTTCTATCATGCTCTGCTATTCCTAACCCACATGATTTGGTGGCAGCCATCAACTCCAATTGATGACCAGGACAAGGTCCTGGATGAGGCCAAGTCCAACACCAAGCTGCAGGCCATGCAGATGAAGCGAGCCCTGGACCAGGGCAAACTCATGGATGGCCTCAAGTTTGCCTCTGCACTGCTAGGAGAGCTTAGAACTGCCAGGTGAGGCTGTTTGGACAGGGGATTTATGTAGCAAGCAACTGATCTGATTCTTTGCATAGAGCAGGGAGCACCATAAGCAGTCCTGTTCATGGGGAGGTTGTCCTTATGGTTCATGAAGAAACTTTCATCAGACACATTGCTACAGCTGCCACTAGTCTTGGGTGTCTCAGATGTTAGCATTTTTGTGGTGAACTTGTGGATGTGCTGATAGTGGCATTGTTCTGTCCTTGTCTGTATTGAGTTAAGAGGAACACAGTGGAGTGTGAAACTGGTCTGGTGTCAGTGACACCAAACACCACCTCAGTGCTGCACTATTTTCCTATGCACAGGCTGTCACCAAAAAGCTACTATGAGCTGTATATGGTGATCTGCGATGAGCTGAGGAACCTGGAGGTGTGCCTGGTGGACGAGTTCCAGAAGGGCCGCAAGCCCACCGACTTGTACGAGCTGGTGCAGTATGCAGGCAACATCGTTCCCCGGCTGTGAGTGCTGCTGAATGCCAGCTGTCCAGTCTGCCTTTTCATGGCCACTGAGCATTGGTTGGTGATGGGGTAGTGATACCATTATGCACGAGGAATTGAGCTGTAAACCATGCTAAATGAAGCTGTCAGCTGGTGATGATTTGGGCACTTAAGAAGTGCTGACTCACCAACAATATTTCAATATTTGGCTTGGGTGGAGGGGATGTCAATATTTTGTGATGCTATTATGCCTGGAGCTTGGGCTTCACTGCCTGTTTCCCCTCCCTTCGCTCAAAATCGGTCAAACATCATCAACCAAGTAACTAACCCAGCATCTAAGCACCTCAGGCTTGACAAATAGGCCAGGCAGGTCAGATGTCTGAGATTGGGTGAAAGGCGGCGGATTAGCGCCAACGAATTGCGTGCGGGTGCAGCAGGAGAACTAGCACTCTGGTAGAAATAATTTATATTCACATCCTGGTCACCTCACTGGATGAAGTTTGGAGCGTTGTAAATACATGTTTTTCACACGTGCTCCCGCGTTAACCTGATGACGCAGTGCGTGTCGTCGTCGGACGTTTCCGCTCACATGTTTCGTGTCGGCAGGCCTCTTGCAGGGCGCCCTTGCCGGAACTGACGGCGGCCCGCTCCGGCCGGTCCGCTCCGTGGCAGGTCTCGTTCCGTCTGCTGAGCCGTGCCCGCGCGCGCCGCCAGGTTCCTGCTGATCACGGTCGGCCGCGTCTTCACGAAGACAGTGCCGCAGGCGACGCGCGACATCCTGCACGACCTGGTGGAGATGTGCCGCGGCGTGCAGAACCCGCTGCGCGGTCTGTTCCTGCGCAACTACCTGCTGCAGTGCACCAAGGACATCTTGCCTGACACGGAGCAGGAGGACGACGAGAAGACCGGCACGGTGAGCGGCGACGGCGGCGGCCGACCGAACCCACTGCGCCCTGCTCGAACGCCGTGGTGTCTCCCGATTGAGAGGAAAAAATCAGTGGTATCGCACTATTTGTATGAATCCGTATATCCGTCATCGATTGGGAGGAAACAATCATTGTGATCGTATCTTTTGTGGCGATCGGTACGTTCGTCATTTAAGTTTGTTTGGCAATGGTGTGCACTAATTGCCGAACCTCTTCCCTACCATTAAGGGTGTGGAAGGACGTGCCTTGCGGCTTGCTTGACGCTGATATGTGATGCACCATGACCGTGTCCGTGTAAGCGTCAGTCGGCCCCGCAGCCGCCTGCGTCGCCCCGTGGCCGCGGCTGTCCGCCGCTCGGCGCCCGCGGGCCGCTGACTCAGCCGCGCCGGCCAGGTGCTGGACTCGATCGACTTCATCCTGCTCAACTTCGCCGAGATGAACAAGCTGTGGGTGCGCATGCAGCACCAGGGCCACACGCGCGACCGCGAGCGTCGCGAGCGCGAGCGGCAGGAGCTGCGCCTGCTGGTGGGCACCAATCTGCTGCGGCTCAGCCAGCTGGAGGCCGTCAATGTCGACATCTACAAGAAGGTAGGCGGCCGAGGGCATAAGTGAGTGTGGGTGGCTGTGTCGTCGTGTGTACCCGCGGTCTGTCTGTCGGTGTGTGACGCTGCATCACTTCCGCAGACGGTGCTGCCCGGCGTCTTGGAGCAGGTGGTCAGCTGCCGGGACCCGATCTCGCAGGAGTACTTGATGGAGTGCGTCATCCAGGTCAGTGGCCGTCGCCAGAGCTGGTGCGGTCGGGATGCCGCTGCCGTTGTCGTGAAGGCTGTTCGCGGGCTTGACATGCTTCTTCTTGGCATGCACACGACCTAGAGTTTAACTATAAAAATACATGGTGCGCAGGTTCCCTGCAGAACTGCGAACCTGTGAAACCACTGAAACGATAGCACCAGTCACTAGCGCTTCAGGCACATGTTTCCGTGACACGACCGCCGCGGCTGCACCAACCCTAACGCCACGGGTCTCGTGGAAGACGGGATCTCCCTCGTCTGCCTGTCCCGCGCGGCGCCGAGTCCGCCGCCGACCGCCGCCGGGCCGCCGTCAGGTGTTTCCGGACGAGTTCCACCTGGCCACGCTGTCGTCGCTGCTGAAGGCGTGCGCCGAGCTGCACCCGGGCGTCAACGTCAAGACCATCATCATCTCGCTCATCGACCGGCTGGCCATGTTCGCCACCAGGGACGACGGCGCCGGCATCCCCGAGAACGTCAAGCTCTTCGACATCTTCTCGGAGCAGGTCGCCGATGTTATCCAGGTGAGTGCAGTCGTGGACGGCGGGCGCCCGTTCGGCCGGGCTCGCGGAGGTGTTCAGGGTACATCCCGCTCGGAGCAGTGGAGGGGGATGGGAGGGAGGTGGAGCAGTGGGGAGCGGGGGGGGGGGGGGGGGGGGGGGGGGGGAGGACATTGGGCATGCAGAGTGCTGGCAGTTGAAGTGCCAAATCTTTGTTTGAATTGCAGATTAACCTTGGAAGGGACAATGTGAACTTGAAAATGGACATGGCATGCTCATGGCAATGCCGGTCACGATTACAAGTGGCACCGCAGCCTGACATTTCACAAATGTCTGTAATTTCCTGAATGGCCGCACACGACGTATATTTCAAGTGCTGGCGACTGCTGTGTTGTGGTGGACCACCATGGTCAGCTGGTGGCAACTTGTCGAAGTTCACTACAGCTAGTAAATTTGCCGCTCTCGCAATTGCCCTTACTGCGACTTTGTTAGTCACTGTTAGACGTAGTATTGAGGTGAATTAAGTATTGAACCGTACTATCATTTAGCCATGGCAAAGGCAGAGCCTTTGCATTACTCGAAGCAAGTTGGAGGCAGGTAGATCTTTGCGAACTCAGTGCTGTGAAAATCTAGATTGCATGTAAAGTGTTAGTCCTCAGCAGTACTAGGAGCTGGAAGCTGCAGAAAGAACAGTAGTCTTGCCCGCCAGCGTGTATCCTGACCTCCACAGGCCAATTCAGGCCAGCATGACCGCAATTCGTCGTCAGTTACGAGGCCCTGCCCCGCATCTACCCTGTGTGACGCAAGGGCTTCTGACCGGCAGAACCGGGCCGGCAACCTGCCGCCGGAGGACATGGCCGCCCTGCAGGTGTCGCTGCTCAACTTGGCGCACAAGTGCTACCACGACCGGCTCGACTACGTCGACAAGGTGTTCGAGCGCACCGCCGAGCTCATGAACGGCATCATGGCCACCAGGTGCGTGCTGGCCGGACGCTCTCATCCCCGCCCCTGGCCGCCCTCGCCGCTAGGGCGGCTCGTGGTCCAGACCCGACTCCGTGGGACTCTGCCGGGTGCGGGATGACAGGGATTCAGCTGGGGTGGTCCGTGCGGTGGACTGTGCACATTTGGCTCAGCTCACCGCCTGGCGTCGCCCAGTCTGCAGAGCGCTCGTCCATGACAGTGTGCTGAGATCTCGAGCTTTGGCTCGGCCACCGCCTGGTGTCGCCCAGTCTGCACAGTTGGCTCGGCCACCGCCTGGTGTCGCCCAGTCTGCGGAGCGCTCGTCCGTGACAGTGTGCCGAGGTCTCGAGCTTTGGCTCGGCTACCGTGCTTGTGCTTCGTCGCCTCCCGCTATAGCTGGCGTGAAAGGCCGCGACACTAATGGCCAACTGCTACTTTACGCGTCCCGAGATAATGCAGCAAAGCCCGATGCATGTGTCGAGGTGGACAGTGGTCTCTGACCGCCGCACGTCTGCAGGGTGGCTGCCGACAGCGCGCTGGGCAAGGAGCTGCAGCGGCTGCTGCAGATCCCGCTGGACAGCTACGACGACCTGACGGTGCTGCAGCTTAACTTCTTTACGCCTTGCCTGGAGCTGCTGGACTACGCCGCTCGCCGAGACGTCGCCATGCACCTGATCGAGCGCATCATCGAGGCCGATATACGGGTCCAGCAAGCGGCTCAGGTCAGGGGTTCGGATGCTGATGGATGGGTTCAGCGGGCGGGCCAGGTCAGGGGCTCGGGTGGTGATGTATGGGTCCAGCAAGCGGCTCAGGTTAGGGGCTCGGGTGGTGATGTACGGGTCCAGCAAGCGGCTCAGGTCAGGGGCTTGGGTGGTGAGGTATGGGTCTAGCGGGCGGCCCAGGTCAGGGGTCGGGTGGTGATGTGCGGGTCCAGCAAGCGGCTCAGGTCAGGGGCTCGGATGGTGATGTACGGGTCCAGCAAGCGGCTCAGGTCAGGGGCTTGGGTGGGAGGTTGGTCTAGCGGGCGCCCAGGTCAGGGGCTCGGGTGGTGATGTGCGGGTCCAGCAAGCGGCCCAGGTCAGGGGTTCGGGTGGTGGTGATGGGTCTGGCGGGCGGCCCAGGTCAGGGGCTCAGGTGGTGATGTACGGATCCAGCGGGCGGCACAGGTCAGGGGCTCAGGTGGTGATGTACGGATCCAGCGGGCGGCACAGGTCAGGGGCTCGGGTGGTGATGTGCGGGTCCAGCAAGCGACCCGGGTCAGGGGCTCGGGTGGTGGTGTGGGTCTGGCGGGCGGCCCAGGTCAGGGGCTCGGGTGGTGATGTGCGGGTCGCAAGCGGCCCGGGTCAGGGCTCAGGTGGTGTGTATGGGTCTGGCGGGCGGCCCAGGTCAGGGGCTCGGGTGGTGATGTACGGATCCAGCGGGCGGCACAGTTCAAGGTTTCCGGGGCTGGCGTTTGTGTCCACGTAACGCAGGCCAGGGGATCGGGACCCGCTACGGTCGGGATGGCGAGTCCGCCCCAAGGGTCGGCGCACTGGGCCGACTGGCGTGGGCCGCGGCGATTGGTTGACGTGCATTGCAATCAATTCAGGTCGAGGTCGCCATGCCGCCGTGCGAGCTCGGCAAACGGCGTGGGCGATAATCTTGTGATCTTTTGGAACATCGACGCGTTACTGATACCATCGTGAACGATGGCTGGATGTCGTGACAACCAGGATCAAATATGAATGGGTACTCCCTTCGTCAACGTAGCGAAGAATAGGAGGACATTTTGGCTCGTAAAGCAGGTGGTGGTAGCCTATGCTGTGCAGTGGGTGTTGCTAACTCGCTGAGTCAGTGGAAATATGCCCATTAACTGCAAACTCGGTGCTGAACTTTTTTGCATTTTTTTGCACACAAAAAAACATTTCGTGGCGAAAATACATTTTGCATGCAACCACACTCCTTTTGCGTGCTGACTCGAATAACCTTATTGTGAGCGGGATCGGCATGTATGTGGGCTGAGGGTCAGGTCTATCGGTCTGTGACGTGAACTCGGTGTCTCGCCGCGTCCCCCCCAGGTTGGACAGCCTGCTGACCCTGATCGGCGTGCTGGTGGCCGACCAGCCCGACTCCAGCTCCGACTTCTCTCGACGACTTCAACGAGGAGCAGGAGCTGGTGGGACGGTGAGCTCGCCCTGGCGTCATGTCGGCAAATGCGCCCTGCTGTTCTAGTCCACTAATTGTCTGCAAAAGTTTGCTGCTGTTGCATTTTCCATATTCGGAACCGTCGGGATGGTTTTAAGTCGTACACGCAATACGCATCAGCAGTTAACTATGGCCGCTATAAAGAATTTGGACACAGTAGGTGGGCTTTCATGCCAAGGGTGATCCCCCGCCCTCGTGGAGCATCGAGTGGATCGTCGAGGCTTCTCGGGATCGGCCCTGCCTGACTCCGGCGCTTCCCCGGGTGCTGCAGCTTCATCCACCAGATGACGTCGGAGGAGCCGGACCAGCAGTACCTGATCCTGACGTCGGCCCGACGCCACTTCGGCACGGGCGGCCGTCGCATCAAGTTCACCCTGCCGCCGATCCTCTTCAAGGCCTATCAGCTGGCTTACAAGTACCATAAGCTGGAGGAGAACGTACGTGCGCGCGCCGGGCGACGCAGAGCCGGCGTGGGCTTGGCTCTGTGGAGTTGCAGCGTTTGTGCCCCACCGCGCTTGTGCGCGTTCGGTTATGTAGGAGTAGGTTTATTTCAGGGTGTGCGATTATGTTACAATTCATTGTGTGTGCTTCATCTTTTTTAAACCGTCGAGCCACAACGTTTGAGAGTGTTAAAAAATGATAAATGATGCTCATTTCTGTACGCACACCTT